TGGAGGCAGTTTGACGCATTTCAAGCACAAGTGAAACAGCTACAGTGAGAGGAAGAGCAGTGCAGGAACGGCTACAGATTTGTTTTAATATAAACAACCATCAATTACCAATCGTGGTTCTAATTGTTAACCACGTCTCTGTGTTTCTCAGTGGTATTTAACCTTACAAATGAGGCAGAGCTTTGCAGTTAAATTAAACTGAACTGAAACAAGGGGGGAAAAAAGACAGAAAGTTGTTAAATTCAGGAGAAAAGGGCAGGGTCCTGCACGTGATTCACGGGGAGTCGTGATGAGAGAGGAGGGAGGATGAGGAGGAAAGGTGTGGTGCAGTGACCCGGGGCCGACTGGCTGCTCGCTCACATGTCAAAGCCAAAAGGCAGGAGCTGCCTGCCTGCGTACCCATCTGGGGCCCATCAGGAACACAAGCCACAGGAACACACACACACACACACACACACACACACACACACACACACACACACACACACACACACACACACACACACACACACACACACACACTTACACACTGGTAGAGTGGAAGTGCCACATTGTCTCAAGAGGAAAGGGAAGGCTGGCTGTGTCTGTGGTGAGCCTGCAAGTCGTGCCTTTAGGATTTTGCACACCTGAATTCTCCCAGTTTGATAGGTGTGTAGCAGGGTAATAAATTAGAGAGAGAAGAGAAGAGAGGTAGCTCATGCACAGTAACCACAAATTGTTTCAGTGGACAACGTGTCAATCCTAGTCGGATCTTTGTCAGGTTAAAATTTTGATTGAAATTTTGAAGATTCAAAGAAATTTAATGACGATTATACAGCAAAGGGGACAGTTAAGAATCGCCTATATCTATACACCTATCTATGAGCCCCCCACAAGGGACAGTAATCATGATGAACGGCATGTCAGTGTACTGCTATTTTTCAGTAGAATTTGTTATGACATGCAATATATAAACAAGTTAAGATTTACTTGTATTGCAGAACTATTGTACAATTTGTAATCATAACAGACATTTGTTTTGCCCCTATTATGAATTTCAATGATAGATAAATCTGATCATAAAATTATGTTTCAGGGTTATTTCTGAACCAAGCCAGCAAGGCAGCAAATAAAACAAAATAAAAACAAAATGAAACACGCTATTACATTTGCTTGGTTTCCTAGGAATCTCCATCCACTGAAACAAAGGAGAAACAAACCTTCTCTGCCTGTGTTGTCTAATTGTCAGTGAGGGATTTGATATCCCTGCTGTGCGTGACAGTTTGGAGCACAGGTCCTGGTAGCAACAGGCCACGTGTTATGTAATCCGCCACAGATGAAGAGTTCCCCATTCAGGCAACCTACTGCTCGCCGTGCCATTCATTAGACACTGCAAATACAAAGTACAGAGCAACAGCCTTCACTACTATTTGTCTGCATCAGGGACACACATTGTGGCCTTTGATTTAGACCATTGCTCTTTTGCTGTGGTTGATTGTTGAATACTCAAGGGTGTGATTTGTTTATATCTGAACATAATGTCATTTTATATCAGTGCATCTATGATTTTTTAATCTCAATGATTTTATTACTGGGCTAAGAGTAGCTAACTAATATTACAGCTAATATTGACATTAGTTCGGTCTACAAACAGAACATTTATGGCTCTTTAACATGCTATTTTAACCCCTGATGAAAGCACATCAGCCTCATTAAAAACAGCAACCTACTGACACTGTCTGCCATCATGTGATGTCACATCCTTTAACGAAGTGTACTTAACCAGTTTAGCCTAAGCAGCTGAGGACATGAAGTTATGGGGCTAGTAAATCCACAGATGTTTATGTAACTAGCACCAGTCTTTTCTAAGAACTATGGGAAACAGTAGGCCCTGTTGCTGGTTTGCTGTGTTACGTGGCTACAAGAGGGTGGAGACAGAGACAGATTCTGGCTGCAGCAGGCAGGTATTTATGGTCACAAGCCGACACTCATATCGTAAGCTGCGAATGGTTTAAGCTCGTTGGCTGTGGGTCAACATGATAAACAAGCCTTTTCAGGGATTAGGGACCTGTCTTGGGGGCATCACCAGTAGCCGGTAGCTTATGACCTTTAGCCTCTTAAGTGAGAAAGTTCGAGATAGGGCTAGTGGTATATACTAACATGATAAACCAGTCTCCACCATTGTCTTTAGTTGCCTGTGAGGAAATAATCTATAGATTTTTTGCCCAGAATGATTTCTGAAAATGTTTCCCTCTGAGAATAAGAGCTCCAGTTTGACCTCCCATTACTAGACAGTCCAGTGTGATAGCCATGAATTACAGAATAGTACACACAGTCTCTCTCTCTCTCTCGCAGTCACACACTGTTCCTCAGACACTCCCTCTTATGCTTCTTATGCGTTTTTTTTTTTTTTTTTGCCTTCTGTAGTTATCACAGCGCTCCACCGTAAGGCACGCCATGCACCAAGAGATTAGGACTAATGTCATGCAGACATCTCACATGTCTGTCTATCAATAAGAGGCACAGCAAGGGTGTTTGACTGCTGCCAACCAATAGCATGTGTTACTTTAAGAGGAGATCACACAAGTACATAAGGTACAGTAGCTCTGAAAAGGACTTAAAGTGCTGGAAGAGGACAGACTCCTTCTCCTCCTCCTCCTCCTCCTCCTCCTCCTCCTCCTCCTCCTCCTTAGCATCATGTGGGTGTGGAAGGGTGTTTGTGGTTTCACACGGACTCTGAAAAAAGTGATGATTCAGCAGCCCTGACAAGTAAAGCCTCACGCCACACTCACTAATAGAAGTCTTAGTGCTAAGAACCATAATGGGACATTTCGGTCCAAGCCAGGGCAAGAAATGTGTTCATACTCTGCGGTGCCTGTGCGGTCCGGCTTCCTCCCCACTTTTGTCATGTCAGTTGGGTCAAGGAGAAGGGAGGTTTGGGAGACGGGACAGGAGTGGTTGTAAGTAGGGGTTATCTGATGTTGTCTGCCGAGATGGTTGTTTTAATCTCGATGGGAGTAGAGGAGAAGATCGTGGCCTCCGGTGTCTGGAGTTTGTTAACTCGACGCCAGACAGACAGACAGACAAGCCCATACAAGACCAGTGTGTCCTCCCGTGTGTGGAGAAAAAGTTTATATTTTACAACTAAGGAAAAGAGAGAGCAAAATGTCCTTACATTGTACACGTGCATGAGTGAGTATACTAGTTTTAGGATAGAAAATTGGACGTTCATGAGAAATGATGTGATATTTGCTCTTCAGCTACAGCTGCACAATCAATTATTTATTGGAATGTCAGCAATGTTGAAACATTGCATGTACATGGCCTACTTACTTTAAAAATGGTTAAGCAGAAACCTTCAGTAAAACACACTCTATGCCTTGTTTCCACGGGATCGAGTGATTATCATAATTACAGTGTTGAACAAGTGTTGAATGGTCAGAACTGGAATTCCTGACACAGATTCTGCCATGTTGTCCTCTCTGTAGCATAACCTAGACTTCTCCCAGGTGGAGCTGCGTGTATCCCCTCGGGCTGCTGCGAAAGAGTAGAATGTGATTAATTGCCAGCTGATATCTGTGTTCGCGTGTGTGGTGATGTTGGGGTTCAAATGAGACAAACACAGATAGACATTTCACAGATAAAGAGCAAAGGTGGACAAATTCAACTGATTGCACAGACAGATGACCTGAGCTCGACTGTTATCACAGACTGAAAACGTGTGTGTCTTGTGACCTCCAAACTTTTACAGACTGAATCAGGGCACCTCTTCTTTCACTCCCCAGACATGCAGCACTCGTCGTGTTCACGTAGTTTAAGCACACACTCGCACATACTGAACTGGTGTAATGGCTTGCTCTGCTCTCGTGTTCTTATCAGCAGCATCCATGCATAGCTGAACCACCCCTCTCTCTCTAACACACACGCACACACACTTATAGATATACTCTAGCCAGTGCTCACATGCCTCCACCAGTATTAAAGCAGCAGAGCATAGCAGAGAGCAGTCTAGCCTAGAGATATCAGTGTGGTGAATTCCTGCTCTGGTCCCCTGGGTTCGTCTCCTTTAGGCTCCCCCAGAGATAGTTCCTGAGTCTGGGTCGCTCCACTGAGTCCACTGACTCTTAATGTCTCTCCACTGTTCCCCTCAGGCCAGCTGAAAGGGCAGCTCCTGCTAATGGAGCACTGATTGTGTTATAGCCACAACTATCTCTCTTTACCTCTCAACTCAGGGCCATTAGCAGGATAGATAGTACGCAGGGCCTGTCTGCAGTCACAGAATAAGGGACTGTCAGGATGATGGAGCGTAAGAGCCAAGCAGGGCCAAGGAAATGCCATTACACCTTTCCTCCCTGCCCCCCACCCTCCCCATCAGCTAGAACATGTTGTTTGTAATGTAGGCAAGGAGGGTAACTAAAGCTGGGTGCGAGAAATACCAGCTGAGGATGATGTATCGTCTTATGGCATACATCGGACATGACTCATATGTAACCTGCTGTGTTGTTCAACTACAAGCTGGAGATTTACAATACAAAATAAGAATACAGTGTGTCTTAATGAGCCTATATACCAAGATGACAGAATACTGCTTGCATTTAGGTGCTGAACTGCATATCTTCCCACCCTCAAATGCCTTTAATGTATTTAGAAATCACTAGAACCCACTAAGAACAGTTGTGGGTTTTTTTTTGTTTTTACTTGGCGTGGGTATAAAGTCATAAAAATAGTTTGAGATCTGTGTTTAGGCAGTTATTTGTGCGTAATGAGAGAGAGAATGACGAGGGCAGAGGAACGCAAGGTGCATCACCAATAGCTGGTGTTTTAGGGTAACTCCTTTTAGGTTCATCTGTTGTAACTGAATGAGTAGCCTCCCATTGCCTGACAATCCCAGCTGCTTCTGAGCAAGACATTTAACTACCAGCATCCATACATTTAACATTTTACTGTCCAGGGATTAGCTCTCCGCTTGTCATGTATCTAATCATTCTGTTTGCCTTTCCGTTTCTGTCTTTCCTCTGTAGACGAGCTCACCTGCGGCTGTGTCTGGAGCGGTTGAAGGCCCTCATACCCCTGGGACCTGACTGCAACCGCCACACAACCCTGGGCCTGCTCAACAAAGCCAAAGCACACATAAAGGTAAGGATAAGTAGCCCACCCAGAGCTAACGCTGGTCCTGGTTACTCATATTGACTCTTAAATATCCAGCAAAGGGGGAAAGAAGAAATTAAGCAAGTAAAATAACAAGAGCAGTATCATCTGAAATATAAATATGATGATGACACACACACACACACACACACACACACACACACACACACACACACACACACACACACACACACACACACACAAATGAAAAACCAGATAACAATATTTGCTGCAGAGACAGATATGTCATAGCACAAATGTTTTTGAGATTACATGTGGTTAGTGACTACATTTGTATTGCAGTTTTCCACTGATCCGCTGATCAGAAGGTTGGTAGATTGATCCCCAGGCTCCTCACACTGAATGTTGACATAAAGTGTCCACGGGCTGAGATACTATGGTACTAATATGTGCCATCAGTGTGTGAATGGGTGTGAATAGGTGAATGTGACATGTATTGTGAAGCACCTTGTTTTTCTGAGGTGAAGTCTTTAATTTTTAAATACATCCATAAATGATTCCATCCAAATGTTTGATGTGTAAATATAATGCATTCCCCACAGAATTTGTACAGTAGAAATAAGTAACCAGTGTCCAGCTGGTCCCTGCCTGATCATCAGTTTGGAAGACCATGTAACACGTTTAGACATTGTGCTTCACGCTTTCCCATCCACTTTAAAAACAGGCATGTGACTGCGTGAGTTCGAGTAGTGTGCATGTGAGAAGCCCGGAGTAGCGTGCATTCACGTAACAGAGCGGAGGCATAAAGCTGATATTGTTGTCGTGCCCCCCCTCTCCCCCCACTACTACTACTACCGCCACCACTGTGCACTTCTGCTGCTGTCATCTTGAGTCTCTCCATCGCTTATTGATGGTCTATTGTTTTGGTCTGTCGCCGGGAGTCACGCTCGTCACAGTCAGCAACGGTGACATAAGGCTACAAGGTTAGAGCACAAGACGGCTGTATCAGTCCCTGCTGTGGACCCTTGCTTATATATTTAAATGGTATAAGGCGTAAACAGAGGCGACACGGTGTAGGCAGGTGAGAGAAATCCTTTAGGGGTTTCAGGGCTAGCAGAAGGAAAATCCAAGGGACACAACGAGTTTAGTGTCTGAATGCCAAAACAGCTGCTGGGGAGTGTTTGTTTTGTTCTGACTGACATTGATATGGAAGGAATTTCCTTAATAACAGCATCTATTTCTTCAGTATCTTGTAGTAAGTTGTTCTTCCTGCTTCCTTTCTATCATTCGTATCTCCTCTATATTTCTTCACTGTCTTGCTTTCAGTCTCTGCACCCAGTTACTATTCTTGTGTCGCACATTTTTTCTCAAATTTTTGTCTGGTTTTTCTTTTCTCTTACACATTTGCACTTTACCAAGATACATCCTTGTCTCACCCTGGTCCCCGGTACACACAATTAACCTTTTCTCTGTTTCCCCCTTCTCTTTCTCCTGAGCAGAAACTTGAAGATGCAGACAGGAAGAGCCAGTACCAGCTGGAGTCTCTGGAGCGCGAGCAGAGGCACCTCCAGCGCCAGCTGGAGCTGCTGAGGGGAGGCAGTGGTGCTGCAACCCCGAGCAGCCCGGGGGAGGGGGAGAGGATACGCATGGACAGTGTGGGCTCCACCCTCTGCTCCGACCGCTCTGACTCCGACCAAGGTGAGTGAGGCCGGAGTCTTTTTACAGGATTTTGATTTGGCGCCTACAATGCCGTCAGACCCTCCAGCTGCTCGCTGGCTAATTGTTACGACAGTGAGGTTGTACCAGTCAGGGTTGCTCTGGGACTGTGTGTGAAATGAGGTGATGCTGAAAACAATAAACACAAATGTCTTGGATAGAGGTTTAAAATGCAAAAGCTCTCTGAAGGCCTTTAAAGTAAAATTTGGTTACTTGAAGCAACCAGCAGCCAAATGTTAAAGGCTGCTTTAGTTTTCATCTTTCCAACCTGGTTGTAATGAAGCCAATTGATCCATTTTAAATGGATACATATTTATTTACAATATATGATTCAAGTCATGTAGAACTTAAGTTTTTGACACATTCTGTAGCATTATTTATTTAAGCATGTAAAATAACTGCTCAGCTATAAATTTAATTAATACATTTCATATAATTTTTAAAGGATCCACTGATTTTCTATATTTTTATTATTGTCAACAAATACCATAAAAAGCAACAAAACCATCCACAAACAGATTCTACTAACAAATATTGTTTGTGTAGCCAGATAGATGTTATTCTTCTGTCCTTAAAAATAAATAAAAATACACAAAATCTGCAGCTGAAAATAGTCCCTAATCAATAATATATGTAAAATCGTTTGCTAAAAAATTTGTTTGCTTTTTAAAAATGAAAGTATATATTCGTAGCATGTTTTTAAAGATTTACATCCTAGTTAGCAACAAATGGGCTAAGCAATGAGTTGACACAGGGTAGATAGATAGATAGATAGACAGATAGATAGATAGATAGATAGATAGATAGATAGATAGATAGATAGATAGATAGATAGATAGATAGATAGATAGATAGACGGATGCAAGGGTTTTGGTGTTTTCATAGGATTCCTTGATATTAAGAAAAATATTGAATATTGATATTGATATATGAGCCTCATTCTTTAAGCAGCTCTAGTATCCCACTGTATCTTCCTCTGCTCCATGTGTCATTGCCACAAATGTACCATACAGAATCTGTTTCTAAATAGTCACAATTCAATTGCTTTACCTTTCTTTTCTCTCTCTCTACCCTCTCTCTCTCCATCTCTCCATCCTCGGCTGCAGAGGAGATCGAGGTGGACGTGGAAAGCACGGAGTTCTCCCATGGAGAGCTGGACAGTGTGAGCACAGCCAGCACCAGCGACCTGGACGACCACAGCAGCCTGCAGAGCATGGCCAGCGATGAGGGCTACTCCTCCTGCAGTGTCAAACTTGCCTTCTCCTCCTAGAGCCCCACACCACCTCCCTGCCAAACCCACCTGTACCTCCCATCCGTTTATCCATCCAGCCATGCCTACATACATACACCCAGTCACCTCCAACGGCGGCCACGCCCCCAGCTAATGGCGTTCCTGTCGCTCCTGCCTCTCAGCAGCCCCCCCCCCCGCTCCTAGCCTTTAGTTGCACCCACTTCTCCTCCTGCGCTGCTGAACCCACTGTCCCACTGTTGGAGGAGCTCCACTCAGAGCTCCTTCTCACCTCTGAACTTTGCGCTGCCCCGACCGACACCAGGGACCCAAACACAGTGATGTGAGACTGGCAGTTGGTTTACGGAGATCGGAGACTTGGTTGATAGAAAAAAACATAAATCATCTTAATTTTTAATGATTGATTTTATGTCTTTTATTTCCTCAAACTGTCAAATTTCTGAATTTTTTAAAGATGCACAACCCCTAATTTGATCCAAAATGCACTTAAATTCTTATCCTATTGAAATAATTTAGAGTTTCTGTTCGGTTCTCTCCTGTGTGGGTGTGTATGTGTGTGTGTGTTGAGCTGGTCCTGTGTACCCATATTAACGTTCTGGTGTTGGGCCTGGATAAACGGGAGCACATCTAATCTGGACAATAATGAACACTGTGGGTGAACTTTGCCATATCAACACAGCTTGGCCCTGATAAACGTCCTTTCGGTCCTGAATTTGATCCTTTGTCTTTTTTCATTACCTCTGCTTGACACTGCAAAAGGTCCGACACTCGAACTGGTGCTATTGTGAAACAAACCAACGGGGAAGCAGATCAGATCCACCACCACTGAGCTTTTAAAGCAAACAAAGTGTGTCTGCCGTGATTGTTTTCAACCAAGGTCGGAGGAAAACAACCACAAAAGAATTGAGGAAAAAACTAAATAACATTCCTGTTGAATGTGGGTGCTCAGAGAGTGGAAATTGTAACTTTGTGTGTGTTTTGTTTTGGTTTCTTTCCCTCCTCGACAAGCAGCTACAAAAAGCTATCCTGCACTTGCCTACTTTAGAGCTGTCCATAGAAACGGCACAAACCAAGAAGTGGGGGAAAAAAAACACACAAAAAAAACAACAGCAACAAGGAAAAAGTCCAAACAACAAACTTTGGAATAGACGTCCATCCTCTTTCCAGCAGTAACAAGCAATAACTCTTATAGTCTTTTTTTGTCTCGTCAGTTTGAACTCCTTTCTCCCCTTTTTCTTTTTCTTTTCTCCCCTAAAGACTGTGTGACCGTCCAAAAAGCAAACTTTCTTTTTTTTTGTAAATACATATAGTTTAATGAATTAAACTTTAAAAAAGAGTTTTAAAAAAAAAGGTAGAGCTCATGGTAACTATTGCCCCTGTTGCTGTTTGACCTGTGTTTATTGTGGATTTTACTTACATTTTTTGGAAAGATTTTATCCTCTTCAGAGTGGCAGCGGATGCGGGATGGACACTATTACTTTGTTCAGTTTTGCTGGCGGAAACATTGAAAAGTTACTCATTCTGTTGCTGCAGTGAGAAGGAGAAGTTACTCCTAAAGCGTGATTAAAAAACGATAGAACAACTTCCCACCCAGTTGCAGAAAGGTGACCCAGTAGGACTTCTGTTGGAGAATGCTGAGTTTGTGTGGCACACTTTTTATTTATTAGATTTGTTTTCTTCTTGTTTATAATGTTCATGAAAGTGTGGGGGGGGGGAGCTGTATATGGCATTCCACTGGTGGTCAGGTGATTTGTGGAGGAAAAGTGTGGGGAGAAGAAAACGGGTGTTATGATGTCAATGTTCACCATCCAGACTACACTGGCATTAAGAATTGCACTTCAACCACAGTTCTCTGTATTTTTTCTTTTTCTTTTCCACTGTCTTTTTCTCTCATGGATCTCTCATGAATCCTTTTGTATGTGAAAAGAAAAAAAAAACACCGGCCTTTTAAATATTTATTTCACAATCCCTCAAAGAACACAAGCAATGGGGAAAAAGAAATTAACTTATTTTGGTTCCGTCTTATTTTACTCATCTTTTTGATGCTTATTCCTCACTCCTTATTTTAAGAATTGTATATTTCATGGGTTATTTTTATTTAAATTTTTTTGGTGGGGGGGGGGGTATGAAAATGTAGCCATTTTGTTTTCATTTTTCTGATGTTTTATTCAATGGACACTTGAAATGTAATTGGCCCCTAAGCTGCTCCTAGTGCTGAGCCTCGCCTGTTTAGAGTCACCAGCCTTGTCCGGAGCTGACTCCCCAACAATGCGCTATGCCTGTGACGACAAATACAGACCTGAAACAACTGGATAAGCTGATAGATAAAATGGCTTCCCTCCATACCTGGCCTTCTGATACAAGGTGAAACATTCACCATTCATCTTGTTAATAAAGTCTCCTATCCAGTTGTTTTGGGGAGGGGCAGCGGGGTTATCTCTGCACAAGGCTTATCAATAGCCAAGACTTTACTGGCAAATATTGAGCCAGCTACTACACAATAAAAGGGGTCTAAAACTCCACTTTCCTCTATTAGGAGGATTGTAGTCTCTATTAGACTTGTGTTTTAGTTGACAAAATGTGTCTTACATTTACAATACAAGTCCTCTGACTGAGGGTATAAAGAAAAAATAAACAAAAAAAGAACAAATCCTTTGGTTTCTCTGAAGGACATCATTAAAGTGTAGTTTGTAAGCTCTTTGCGGAGCTATGTTGAGGTTGTTGGGCTTGGCACTGAATCAGAAAGTCACCACTTTTGGTGCTTAATTATATATTTAAAAAAAAAAAAATGTATATGCCAAAACCACCTCAGAACACCTCAGTGTCCTCTCTCTTTATCTCCCTCTTACTCTCTGAGGGACAGTTTACATTTATTCTTCCCCTGTTTAAGTTATTTACCTTCAGCTTTTCTTTGTTTCTGTTTTCGTCTTCATATGTTGGTTTTATGAACCTGCACTGCTGACAGGAAAAAGGTCCCATGTTTTACGACAAATGAATTTCACTCCTCATGCAGACCTGGATCACTTCCTAGTGGTGTTTTAACCTGCTTGGGAGTACAGTATATTTTCACTGCATTGGGATGATTGTGATAGTGTTGGGTTATGTTGTCTGGCACTCATTGTATTGTCTCATGTGGAAAACTACTCAGATCTCGTATTCCAAGCAGGGATAAAACCAACTATAAGTGACTGATTTTACTGAAGCCAGGTCTCTCCTGTCTCATGTGACTTGTGAGTGTGTGTTTGTGTGTGTGTGTGCTCCATGTTCTTACTAAGGCTGAGCTTTAGAGAGGCACCTGGTCCATGGCTAGTCTGCACTGATCTCAGCTGGACTGTTTTCCACTTGCTAATACATCGAATATCAGACTTCTGGAGAGTATGTCCAATGTGAAGGTATATATAAGTGTGTAAGTGAAGGCACTGTCAAATCATTTTGCACTGAAAGTTAAATGAGTGTAACTGTCAGTTTAGTGCAGGCTGGACATGGATCAGCCCGAGTTAGTTGGGAGGTCTGACAGAGAGTTTCTGGCTATGCTGCAGATTCAAAACAATAGCATATCTTCATAAACTGGTGATCACAAAGCTATATTTTTACCTCTGTGTTTAAGGTTAGGTTTAGACATCTGGTCCTGGCGGTGGTTCAGGGTTCAGGGTTAACTTTCCAGGAGTGTCGATTTCCAGTTTTGCAGCTTGGCCATAAGTGTACCAGCCCGACAAAGTGGAAGTCGCAGTGTTTTTTGTAAATCACACTCCATTTCTGGCGTCTGTCTCACAGGAGGTTGACTTTGAGCAAACGGGTCCATGAGTTAGCCCAACCAAATGAGCAGCCCCAAGTAGGGAGTCCTCCCGCTGTTCTGAACCTGTGGCCATCCTTTGTAAAACATGCAGTCTGATGATGATTCTAGCTGTGTAAGTTGAAGATGCAATACTTACAATAAAAAACACCAAGATTTTCAAACCTGAATGACTCAACCGGTCTCTTTGTACCATGTTTCAATGTTGAATGTGCTGTGAAGCAATGGGTCGCTCAGAATGACTTGTAATGTCAGGCTTCTTTGATTATTATTATTTAGCTTCAACGTTATCTCTTTAAAATGATTCCCACCACCTAGAGGTACATTAAACAACAGATGTTTAATTCATTCCCAATATTCTGCAAAGATGTAATATATCAAAGAATGGTTCCCAACAAGATGACGGTGGGAAAAATGGCTTCTAATCAATCCTGTTTCAAAGGATTTTCCAGCCAGTAAAGAAATATTGATTTCTCATAAGAGCTTTACAAATCTATTAAAAACATGTTGTGAATGTTCTATGTGAAATAAAAACAGCTGTTTTTTTTCCAGCAACTGAAATATAATCTAAAACAGATCTGAAGTACATGAAGTCAATGTTCACAAGTCTCAGTAGTGTCCCTTGCAACAGTTTATTCCTCTATTTAAAAAAAACATCTTATGTGAAAGGTTGACAGCCACATTTTTCTGTTTTGAGTCTTCAGGTGTCACATCAGTCACCACAGTGTGTGTGTTATACTTCCTCCAGCAATTTGCACGTGCCACAAATCCCTTGAAGATCACATGATGTCTGTGTGATCAAAGCAGACTTGTGGGGAGAGTTGCAGGTTGTTGTTTTTTCTTTAACAGACCACATGAGCATCCACCACATGAGATATTCTTTTCAAGTGATCACAGCTTGTGAAAAATGGTTAAGAGGCTCGACCTCCCAAGTTGTACAAAACCACCATGTTACACCACAGTAAGAAACACAGTGACAATGACGATGTGGCACCTCATAAAGAACTCCTTGTAACTACAGATAATCTGGTTTAGATTACGGCTTCACGTTATTGTCATATCAGCAGTGCTGAAATTGGAAACAAGGCTGTGTTGAAATGGACACGTTGTTTTAGGGTGCGTGTAAAAAATTAAAGGAGAATTAATAGTTATATAAATTGAATGTTGAAACCCAGAAGCAGCACCTGTATCAATAAATCATAGTTAATCTCAAATACAACGCCAGCAGAGGGTCACAAACTGCCTGTTTTTCATAGCAGTAATTATTTTGTACGTGTGTTGAACATCTTGATGAACATAATGTCCTCTCTGTCCTCTCCAAAGCTGCCGAGCTTTTATTTTCAGATGGAACATTATGATAAAATAATTTTGTTGACAGTGCCGTAACAGACACATGCTACATCCTGGCTGCTTTATCCCAGTGTCATACTCTGAAAGATGCTGCCACCTAGAGGACAAAAAAAGCTCATCTTTTACTTTTATCACAAGAATTGAAAGAAAGCAGTCACTCTATGAGTATTTTGCACTATGTATAATTATTATGGTCGATGAAGGACATTAAATAATATCAGCACACACAGTTCTGATATGAATAAAACCCATAAATCATCATAAAACCCTATCCAATCATGACCATTGATGTCTAATCAAACTATTCATCATGTTCAAAAGACATAATTATCTTCTTCCACATCTAAAGAAAAACTGGAGAAAAGAGGCCATATGTGGTCTGCTGTTAATTTGCTAAAACCAGCTCCTACCCGTTCAACCCCTGCATTTCATGAAATTACCATTGGAAAATCTATAGTCCCTCTCAGGGAGGGTGACATCATTATTCCTAACCAAATTACTGTAACACCACACAGCACGAACCACTAGGAGGCACAAGAGGCCTGGAAATGATCAATAACACACTGATTTACTACAGTCTCCTCTGTCTGTTCTGCCACCAGTAATTGACTGTTTGCATTATATGATTTTTATCTTCACAGTTTGGTCCCAGATTCATTCATCCTTCACATAAATATTTTAGAGGAACTAGTGGTGGAAGAAGGATTCAGATCCTTGTAAAAGTGCTATTACCAGACCGTGAAAATACCATATGTATTCGGTGTTGTACTTGCAGGCCACACAAAAATTATAAAGAGTAATGAAGTTAAAAGAGTTCAAATTGGATTGTTATTAAATATTTGCAGTGTTTGTGTACCAGTAGTTTAACCTATGTGGTGCTTTAAATAGCTCTGTGTAATGTATTTTTCCTTATTTTCTAAAGTGAATTTAGCTTTTTAGACATTCAGATCAAACAGAGCTATTATGAGGACTTGAATGAAACGCATACAGACCCTGTAGGACTGACTCTAACTATCTTAACATTAAGAGGAGTTGTCTTTGGCTACATTTTATAATATTTCACCACTAGGCTGCACAAAAGCACTGTGGATGTGCTGGCAGAATATCATGAGTAAACTGAGCCTGTGTGACAGAGATCATACGAAAAAACAACAGGGCTACAAATATTTTTATGATTAATAAATATGAGTGTAAGTTCGTGTTTTCTAATCAGAGTTGCTGTCATAAGCTTAATTATTAATCCTTGAAGGAATCTTTTTTGTCCCTTTGAACAGAAAACCATCCATCCATTTAATCCCTAAGTATTTATTTGTAAGAGTTGAATGTGTTACAGAGTTTGAGAAAAACATTGCCATTGTCACATAAACTGTACACAGGTCTGAAGTGATTCTTCATTTAAAAGGAAGCCTGGTGTTTTACGTCATGAATCCCAGTGAGCGCTGTCTCAATTTCATTCAGGAGAAGAAGAAAACCCATGCAACCCTTTCCAAGGAAATACCGATCTACCCTAAAAAAATAAACAGTTACAATGTAACTCCACTTTTTCATGTTCCCAGTTTGTCAGTAAATTGGAGATATGTCAAAAACACAACTAGTCAACAACATTACTTTTTTAAAAACACCCCTCTAGGCTGCCAATCAACACACTGTACTGTAATAAAGAACCTGGTTAAACCAACAGGAAGCTAAAAATCATGCATTTCTAATTACGTGTTTATTGTGTCACTGATTTTGCCATCAGCTCATTGAAATGTCATTTATAATTGCTGTTTCCCTGCTGTCTCTTCACTGAACTGAGAGCTGCAATAGCAACTGCTATAGTTATATATATTAAAGGTCCAGTAACACTTGGGAGGATTTGTGTGCAGAAATGGAATATAATGTGTATATTATATATATGTTGCTATGTTTTTATTAGTGTATAATCACCTGAAAGTTAACACAGAACAATTCTTTCATAACGACATACGCCACTAGTCGCCTTTCATGGAGGCCGCTGTTGAACACCCATCTTATCTACAGTAGTGGACAAAACACTGACATCTGCCATAGTTTCTATTTAAGGTAAGCGAGGGAGTTGCAATTTGCAACTAGATGCAACTAAATCCTACACACTTGTCCAAATGTGGTTTTATTGTTTTCACACAGGACTCTCAGCGATGACAAAAAGAAGACAAATCTGCATGTTGCATCAGACTCCATAATGGTGTTTTAGTGGCTCTTTGTGTTGGAGGCTAGCCATCCAATCAGAGACTGATTACACCTGAGACACCAGCTGAAAGCAATGAGCTGCTTCGGTCGTGATATTTGCAAAGGAACAGGGCTGGGTTTAGTTAAACAGTAGATCAAAATGTAAAAAAAATTTTCAAGAGGCACAGATGTTGAACATTTATTTTGCCTCCTGATATTTGAACGTGAACTTCAGTCTGCACCAGGCTTTAGTAAGTAAAAATAGAAGTGATATTTTTTGAAAGCATGATTTTATTTCCCAATGGGTTACACTTCAGACAAGGTCACCTCTGGCTCCATCAGCACCCGAAGTCCTCGAGTCCTGAAAAGTCTTTTCTGGTCACTTTGGACAGACTTCTAAAAATACTGAGGCAGCTTTTTTTGTTGTTGCACAAAGTGCTTTGGATCGGCTGTGATTAAACTAGAGCACCCAGATCCTCTGACAGATGAAGGTCCTTGGGAGTCAGGTGGGATTGTGTGTGGGAATCTCACTCTGTCGCTGCTCTTCATTGACAGCGGAATAGCGGGTTACGTGTGCAAACAGAGAAAGTAGGCTATGCTGCCTAATTAAAATGTTTCTGGCATGCTTTTGGCTTCCTGGATTGAAATAAGAGAGAGTGGCCGTTGGCTGACTCTGCCACTTGTGAGGAATGTCACAAGTGGACTCTGCTCTGCTTTCACTCCCTTCATGACTCATACTCTGGACCTCATCTCCATATTGTAGTTGTTGTTTTTCAACCCCCCTCCACTTCCCTTGCAGAGAAGCAAACCCATGCAACCAATTACTGCGCTGGTAAAGCAGCAGTGGGAGTCCACGGTGGAATATTACGAGGTAAAATGAAGCAGGGCAGTGGGGCTGAGTGTGTGTGGGGGACATGCTGGGGGGTGGGGGGTGGGGGGTGGGGGGTGCGGGTGGGGGGTTCCTCCAGTGATGCGCATGAGTCATCGTCCCCGCGGCGGCTGCGCTTCTGACATCACAACGGCCTTATCAGAGGTGGAATGCGATTCCCCACAAATGTCCTTCACTGTTGATGGATGAGGGAGGCGAGGGGGTCTCACCGCACAACAAATTCTGCATCACGTCTCTGAGGTGACTGGCGGCATGTAGTCAAGACCTGAGGTGTGTTGTAATTCTGAACTGAGGAGGCAGGTGTGTGTGTGTGTGTGTGTGTATTTGTGTGTGTGTATGTGTGTGTGTGCGCGCACGGCAGTGTGTCTGTGTCTATCAGTGTGACAGACAGTGAGAGTAATTGTAGTTGCAGGGAGAAACACTGGTTTGGAGGCTGGTCGACGTCATGCCCTGACCAGGCTCCAGGGCATCCAATCAGCCCTCTCCTTCCCTGCCTCCCCCTCTCTCCCCGTCTCTGCTGTGGGGTTAGTCATGCTGCCAGGGTGAGGAGACCCACAGGCACGTAGGCCCCTCCCTCACCTCACGTAGTCCAGCCTTATCAGTTCGTTGGCGAACACACTATCAAAAGCCTGGATGGAACGGTCCACTTGTGAGTCACCCAGACAAACCAAGCTTGCAGGGCAAGGTGCTCGTTAGCAGCTTGTTTGCCAGTTGCATTCAAGTGGCTAATCCAGCAGGATG